GGGGATCCCCAGCCCCGAGCCTTCTCCCCCGTCTCGATGCAAAGCGGTTTCGCGGTTGGAATAAACATCCCTGATCGAAGGCAGCTGCCGGCAATCAAAGGCCGCCCCGATCAGCGCTGAACCGGCCGAGGATGCGGCTGAAAAATGCCCGCTCCTGGCAAGGGCAGGGAAGGGGGCGCGAAGGCGGCTCTGCCGCAGCGCCTCCGGGCTCTGAAAGCAGCAACGCTTTGCCCATTATTCATCTGATTTGGTTTATAACACTTCTGACACCTAATCTTATCAGCTAATACCCAAGGTTTAGTTACCCTAGATGATTTTTTTTTTTTTTTGTTCCACGCTAGCAGCAAAATTATTTGACTCCCTGCAGATCTGTTTACTTTCGTCACCCTTAAAAAAAAAAAAAAAAAAAAATTAAGAAAATCAGGAGGGGGAAAGCTTATGCGTAAAGGAAAAGATCCAGACTTCCCAAGGCTGGTAGAAACAAGCACTGAGGAAAGACCAAGTTAACTCAGAAGAAAAAAAAAAAAATAAAAAATAAAAGGTTCTGAATATTGACGGAGAAAGTTTGCTAAGGAAGAGACCAGAAACCAAATGAACACATATGTAGTCCATGCAGACTTGCCTGTAAAATAACGATTTATTTTAATACTTAAAAAACACACACAATCCAGTGATAAATGTCAATTACCAATAATCAGCATAAAGTGCCAAACAGCCATACAACTTTTTTTTTTTTTTTAATAAACAAAACTTATTGGAATGTCTCTTAATTTGAATACACTGTTCAGAAAGCCAGCATTTAAAAAAATACGCTCTCAGGTTGAGATTTGTTGTCTCTCATCAGGACGCACGAAGACTTTGAAGTACCACTAAAACCACATTGTGCATACCGTCAGTTTGACATATTGCCATCTTTCTTTCCTCTGGGTTGTTTTTTTTTTTTTAAATAAGTCCACAAGTTACAAACCTCCTCACAGCGCACTAGACCACAAGGCAAAAGAAAAGGTCTCCATGTCCCATGAACACTGATTTGTCCCAAACACCAGGGCCCCGCAGGTCCAAGATCTGGATGCATTTTCTAGCGCATGATATGACTCCTTACTTGGGAGATTTAGGTCATTTCCAAATATTATTTTTCTTCTCCTTTTAAGAAAACAAACTAGCAAATGACACTTGCAAGTTGCCCTTCTCCTTGTCCTAATGGTGCTGTGATGAGAAACCACTGTTTCAGTTCTTAATCGTCTTCTGGAATTCTTTGTATTTCCTGAAGTGTAAAAATAAGAAGCTTTATACAGTCAAAAAAAAAAGTATAAAATAAGAGGTTGGGGTTTTTTGTAGAAAAGTAATACTTTTTGGGGGCGGGGTGTTGGGGTTGGGGGGGAGGGGGCTTGTGGGTTTTTGTTTGGTTTTAAAGAGATTCCTGTCCAACACGTGAGCACCACCTTTTGGCATAAAGTTTATCAAAGGCACACGAGTCAGCTAGCACTCTCTGCATCGTTCGTTTATATCTTAAACACAAAATAATCTTTTCACCCACGACTTAGGAAGTTAGTTGCTTGGGCAGGGGGCAGGGGAGGGAGAGGAGATTTTGCTCTTTTTAAAGTACAAACAAAAACAAAACACAAAGTTCAGTGCTCCCATCCTGAAAGTTTTGTTTCTGCTCTGGTTTTGGTGTAAAGTCTGAAGGGGAGGAAAAGTTCATAGAAGTTGGAGATTCAGCACTTAAGTTTGCCGGGTTTCAGTTCCTTTACTTGCGTGTGCAGTGTCTTGTGGACAGCTAGCGTTCTGGACTGGCAAAATCCTTTCCCGCATTCTTGACACTTAAAAGGCTTTTCTTTAGAATGGATATATCTAGGGAGAGAAAAAAAAAAAACAATATGTCAGAAATAAGTAGCCTGAACTCGGCAGTGATCTACCTGATGGAGAACACGCTGGAGCTTTTTACACCTACTGCTGAGACCGCGAGTGCGGGAGTGCAGCACTCAGACGATGGTGTGTGTGTGCAAGAGAGGGGATGTCGGAGGCTTACAAGGGTGCTTTCCTTAGGGATAAAGAGCTTATCCCTAACTTTGAGGTCACTGGGCTGTGTGTCTTCATGACACTTCTGAATGATCGCAAAGGCAGAGGACACAAAACGATGCAAATGGAGGGTGAAAACATCTGTGGAAGCTAAGAAGGCGGCTGTGCAAGTCATTTCTGCCCAGTGAGTACAACAGGCCTGTCTTCTGAAGTGAGTTATCTGGACTTCTCCACCGGCAGTGGGGAAACGAAACCCTTGAGGGAACACTGCTGGCTGGCCAGGGACGTGACTTTTCTTACAAGCACCTTCACGAGTGTAAGTGGGTAACCGGGAGAGTATGGACACACAAGGAAAAAAGGACAGGAGAAGAGGAATCGTTACCTGTGATCCCTCAGGTGATCCTGTCTTCTGAAGGCCTTGTGGCAAATGTCACATGTGTAGGGCCGTTCATCAGTGTGGGTTCTTTCATGGATCAAAAGGTTGTAGGACTTGGTGAAGTGCCTGCCACAGAATTTACACACGAACTCCTTCTTGGTTTTGGATGGTAACCTTCCCCGCGTGGGTTTCTTCTCTGGAGAGAGTTTAGTCACCTCAAGCAAAGACCCCAGCCCTGGGGGGGAGCCCTGACTGTCTGCCTGTCCCAGTTTAGAGTGGTCCTCTTGTGTGGCAGCCACTGCTAAGTTGGCAAAGTCGAAGCGGGGTTTGGCTTTGAGGGTCACATTGGTGGCCTCTTGCTTGGGCTGGATGACATGTGGGAAGAGTGGGAAGGTCGGCAGCTGGAACCGTGCATCCACCAGGCTCGATACGCTGGGCACCTTGGAGAAGGAGGAGCGGGGCAGATGCATGGCCGGGTAGCCCAAAGTCCACTGGTGCAGGTGTACGGCATGCAGGGCGCTGAAGCCGTAGAGGTTGGAGAGGTGGTCAGAGGGCACGGCGGGCAGCCCGTTGAACGCTTGCAGGAAGGAGTAGTTGGTGAGCTGGAGGGAAGGGTGGATAGGCACTGGGGCCGGCAGGGTCTTACTCCCCATGGTGGCCGCTCAGAAAGAGGATCTTGGGAACAAGGGAGGAAAAGATCTGGAAAACAAAGATGAAGAGAGGAAGAGGGAAAGGTGTATCTATATGAAGATAAAAGCAGAGGTCATTTCTCACCTCACCCCTCGTTAATGCCATTCTCCAAAGCCACAGGAGAAGGCCTAACCAGACCATGAGTGTATCCCCACAGATCTCCAGACTCTCCCTTTCTCCATCCCTCACACACAGAAGTTGTACCCCATCCACAGTCATTCACCCCCAACAGCATCCCCATGCCAGGTAGACCTCCAATGACAGGGACAGCAAAGAGGTGCCATTTCGGCCCACAAAGCTGAAGTTTCTCCCACATAATTTAAAATCCCTTCCTAGGCATCCTCAGCCTTTAAAAAAAATGGTGGGATACTGCCCACTACATCTGTCCACAAAAACTGCCTTTAGGTGACGCTTGAGGTGACAGGAGGAGGGGGTGCAGAGAGCTCAGTGCCCCAGGGGCCGCTCACCTCCCCAAGGTCCGGCCTCAGTCAAGCCTCTGCCTCTGTGACAAATCTGAAGTGCCATTTGCTCTCCCCAGGCAGAAGTGCCTGGCTTCAAGCCCACGTCCTAATCTAGGCAATCGCTTAATTAGAACCCTTCAAAAGGCAAAGAGGCGAGGGCTGGAGGGACCCTTCCCATGGGGACACCCAGCCCACCAGCTGCAGAGCCACAGGGCCGCAGCCCTTCACTGGGCTGAGTGCCACCACTCTGCTCTGTGTTTCAGGGTCCCGCCAAGCCCCCAGCCTCTCCTCTGAGCCAGTTCCCTACCCAGTTCACCCCGCAAGGCGAAGAGAAAAATGCTACCAGGCGGCAGCATTGAGGCACATCTGGCCCTGCCTGCAAATTCAGCCCCGGCTGCTGTCAACCATTTGGCATGAGAGGCCTCCTGAGGGCTGGTGGTGGGGACACAGCTTCCCCTCTTTGTGGGTGCAAAAGAGCACCCACAGCTTTTGGAGGCTTCACACCCCTGCAGCCCAGGGAGCTTCCTCCTTACTCCACAGCCCACAGCTTGCACTTGCTTTCCCCAAGCGATCTCTGGGATTTGCCCTCGGTGGGGCTGCTTTCCTGCAGGATCCCCATAGATTCCCCGCAAGGTGCCTGTAAGATCCCACAGGATCCACAGAGGGAGCCCATAAGGTCCCCTCCAGGGTTCC